ACAGTCAAGAAATATGCCAGAAATTTATAGGGTATTTTTCCATGTCTCTATTGGCCTTTGACTTCCTAAGCATATTTTTTTAGAAACATAGCCAAGAATTAATGTGTTTGAACAATGTACAGTAAATGCTCATTGGCCTGAACTTAAATGAATGAGAAAGCTAAACTAAAACCTGGTGGTGGTGCTTTCACATTCTGCATTCTACTTCTATGAGAAATGGCAATTAAATAATAAATCAGCTCTCGCATTAAGTAATTTTAGAACTGTATGGGCAGCCAATTCAATTTCCTATATCATCTACATCTATAGCAGTGTACAGTAAAAATAGACGTCACTATGACCTTGAGGCACTGAAGAATCTTGAGATAGTAAAAGGTCAAAGAAAAATTACATGAAGATATATCCATTTTCTTACACATTAATTACTTGGGAATGCATCATCTTTATGCGAGGTAAACCAAATATTCTTTTAATATGAACATTCATTTCTCCAAGCCCTGTGCATAAAAATAAGTATACTGGATGATCTCTTATTTTTAAAATTTTGTCCTTTAGTTAAAAACAAATGCATCCTTCAGACATCCTTTGTTTACTACTGATCTTAGAAATGTCTGTTTTTAATCACACCACCTGGTTCCATTTGGAATATTTTGTATCAATTATCCCATTAATAGTTGGTCTTTCCCTTTCATTTTGACATCTGTTAGAAGGAGCAGCTTGAGGAAGAGCCTCACTGTCAATTTTTTAACAAAAGCATTCCCACTTAATAAAAAAGGATCATCTAAATTATAGTACATGCCTTCATCAACTGTACCTAATACTTGGCTCAAGCATAACCCTGTTCCTTGGCAGCCATTCTGTTGGCTCACCATGTTTAGTTCACCTTATTTAATGACTCAGAAAAGCTATATACACATATTGTCCCAGCTTATACAGTAACTTCCCACGTGGACATTGATTTTACGTAGGCTTGCTACCAACTCTCCTACATATCCTCTTTAATGCTTCTTGGTTTTCAATTCAAAAAAGTTTCAGAAATTTGAAAATTAGTAAAATAAATCTAAATATAAGTTGGAAATCAGTTAGTTCCAAATCAAATCAATCCAACCCAGGGTCACACTAGTGGGTTCCATTCTAATGATTAAACATCCCCACTGCAAGACTCAAAAAGAGACCCTTTACAGCTTGAGACAACCCAATGCATCTCTTACTGGGAAGAAAGTGTGTCAAAACTAGAAACACATGGTAATTTTTGTTAAGATCTGAAAATAAAATTCAAGTGGGAAAAGATATATAAAACCACACACATGCAAAACACAAAACAAGCTATCACTTGTTTTTCACAAACATTTCATTAAGTAATCATTTTAGAGGGGAAAGTTTTCAGATACTATACAGATCAGTACCTACTCCTGTATGTTCCTAAGAAATCTATAAATATCAACAGTTTCTGTGAGAGGGTCATCAACTTTTGCTCTTGACATATTTTCTTTTTTGTCATATCTTGCTTGCCCGTGGCAGGGCAATAAATACTATTCCATGCTAGGAAATAGTGAAGAAGAGTTCACCATAACTTTTTCCTTGTTTGAACCAATACATTCTTCTAAATCTTTGCAAATTAAAGAAGTAACAATTATTCCAGCATTTAAATCATCTTGTATTTCTTGCATTGCACTGCCAAAACAATTTTGAATAGGACAGGGGGAAAGAATATAACACATCCCATTAACTGGTTAAAAAGAAAAATATCTAGCACCTCCTCTTATACCAAAGTCTTGGATATTATTATATTCTAAACTAATTGCTTTACAGAAAGTGAGCAATCAGTGGGATGCCCGAACTGTCGTGGACAAAATGCAGCAATCCATCTCTAGAAGCCTTTAAAGAAAAGAGAATGGATGTGGAGCTATACTGAGGAAATAAAATGATGCAGGATAACGTAAGGCAGATTTCATTAAGGTAACACTACATTTTCATTCTAAGCTCCTTGAGGGTAAGTACCTCTAGTTAATTATTAATCAGTACTTCTCTCTTTACCTATCCCTAGGTAGACGGGATATAGATAGCATATGTGTTTGCATTTCTTCCTCTGGGTTGGCAGGTAGCTATTGTTATAGCCTGTGAGCAGTGGCAGGCGGTTCACCAGGCTGGCGTTGCTCACAGGCGAACACTCCTCATCCCTTTGCACCATCCTCAGTCTCCCAGCACTGCCCTTTAGCCCAATGGGATGTTGAGAGCCAACTAACAGTGGCGCAATGCCCCATTCCGTCACTGAAGAGATGCTACTGGCCAGCTCACAGCCATGGAACGCTGCCAACTGTATATCTGCATGCCAAGAGTTGGAGGGAAATTTTTTCTATTGGCTCTGAACTTCCAGATTTGCAACTTCACTTTCTGCTAGAAGCTAAGTTGCTGCATGCCAGGATAGATGAAAGGAAACAGCTGAACCCAGAGACAATGAGTTGATAGGGCAATGCAGGTGAAGGGAACAGAAGTATTAAGGACAGAGGAAGAGGAAAGGGAGGAAAAAGTGATCTTAAGCTTTTGGAAAATAAACAAAGATGTTCATGATTAGGCCCCTGTGGGCCGGCCTTAGAGCAACACTGACTAGTGCAACACACCTGGAGGGTTCAAAGCTGAGGGGAGCCACCCCCAACCAAAGGCACAGGATCTCCAAAATGCCACTCCCCACCTACTCTTGCTTTTACTTAGAGCCCAGTCACTCAGAAGCCACTATTAACAGTCTCTTGTTGACACAATCATGGCCCAAAGCCAAGCCCATCAGCATGCAAACAAATTATTCCACCGAGATTTTCACATCTATTCTGATTTTTCTCAGTCACCTTACCAAAGGTACTTTTTCTCAAAAGATGTATTTTCTTCTTATCTTTTAAGGATAAGGAAAAACCACTTAATACAAAATATTACATTGAAAATTCTGAAGAACTTTGGAAGACAAATAAATGTTTTAGTTGAAGTCTAAATGCTATAACCCCAGGATTCCATTTACAGATGTACCTGGATGAAATGTCATTGACCCAATCTTTCAGTCTAAGATCCTCCTTGATAAATTAGGAATAGTACAACTCATGTCACAGATCACTGGAGGCTTAGTAAAACACAAACTTCTACCCAGGATGTACCATGGCTTCACTTAATTTTCTTATGATGCACTCACAGACGCACCTTAGGCAACAGAAGTCAGTTGAATAAATGAATTTATGTAGAACTTTATACCTTCCCAAATGTTTTCTTCAGTATTATCTAATTCTCAAAACCATGATAAGAGAGATAAGACAAGTATCATAAAACACATTTTACAAATGAAGAAACAGAGTCCCAAGGAGATGAATGGCTCTGCCCCAAGCCACATGACTAGTTAGTGGCAGAGGAATGATGACAACCCAAGTCCCCTCACTCTTACCTCAAATGATCTTGTTATTCCAGACTCTAAGATTCATATTACATATCAAGAAATAACCTGCACAGAATCGATAATAATCTGTAATCAAGCAAAGATAAATGAACTATTGCACCAGTTGTTTCCAGTTTGATGAGGAAAATTAATAATTAACATTCTGCTTAAAAATTTAAAGAACCAAAGTCAAGGCATTTACAGTTCAAAAAACCATAGGTATTCATAAAGAATAGGAAATCCACATAATATGTACTCAGCCAGCATCTTCTTGATTTATTCTGCTCATTATCTTTTAAATGTAATATTTCAGGTGTTATTCTAAGCTACAAATCAGAGGAAAGTAAAGGCTTGACTTTTTTTTTTTTAACCAACTCATATCTCACTTTGGAGTGAATTTCTCGTTTGATCATAAATGGAAACATACAGAAGTACCCACAAATAAGCTAATATACACATGAAGTCTTCATGAGGGACTCTTGAATGGTTTGGGATTTGATTTAACTAAATTAAACCATACTCCTAAATGAGGAGATTTTTCAAGCTTCTATTTCTGTACATATTTTGTGCTCCCACTAGAGCTTTAAGCTCCAGAGAGCGCGATGTGAATTCCTTGGGGAATCTCGGCTACCCCAAAACAGTACCACACAGAAACCTGTATGAACAGAGTGACCTTAAGAGTTACCCCTACAGATGCACTGAAAAGCACACATACACCCAAATAAAAACACACAAAACCAATTCCCTATGCGATTTTTAAGTGTCAGCTCTTCAACCATTTCAAGTTACTTAAGTTTAGTCCCTTTCACATCACATTCAAGTCAGGGGCGCCGGGGAGGGGAGTGGGAGTGCGGGGGGGGGGCATCTTCACGTCAACCCGAGTTCTCATCCTAAAACGTCTCGCCCTTGATCCATCCACTGCGCAGATTCCAGCACTGGAGGCGTTCGCCTCCTCTGGCTTTAGCCCGCTCTGGAATAACCGGGCGCCCCTTCCTGCAACATTTTTGCACTTTGCGTGGGTCTGGTCCAGGCCTCTAAGCTCCTTTCCTGCTCCCAGCCAGGAAGAGTCAGAGCGACGACTGGAGCGTTAGGCAGGAGAAGCGGGTCCCCCGTCCGCCCGCTGGGGCGGTCACCGCGACCCCATCAGGGGGTTCGGAGACATCCGGGCGGGGCGCGCGACAGCGCGAGGCCGGCGACTTGCACGCCATCTCCGCAGCCCCGCGCCTTCCCGCCTCCGCCCTGGCCACCCCCGGGTCCCCCCTGGCCCCTGAGCGGCAAGCTGGGGTACAAGTGGGAAAGGGAAGTGAGGCTCCAAGCGTGTGCCAGAGTGGGAGTGCGGACCCACGGCAGCCGGGCAGGCAAACCTCGCCTCTCCCCGAACTCCCGCCTCGGACCAGCCGGCAGCCCGGGCGCCCCAGGGCTCCCCGCTCCGGGACAAAGCTGTGCGGCCTCTCCGCCAGCGCGGGGCGGCTCAGTCTCCCCAGCTGCGACTCTGTCCCAGAGGGCCTCCGGGCAGCCGAGGGGACCGAGGGGACCCCGGGCCGGGCGCCCGCATCCCGTGCCCCGCGCCCCCGCCGCCGCTCACCTGTTCAGCACTTTGCGGATCCTCTGGCGCACGCCTGCCCGGGAGGAGGCGGACAGGCTGCCGCCGCCGCCGCTACCCTCGGCCGGCAGGTTCTCGATGGTGGTCACCACATGGTTCGGCGGGGCTGGCGGCGGGGGCTGCAGCTGCTGCTGCGGCGGCTCAGGCGGGATCATCGCGGCGGAGGCGGCGGCGCGGCGGCGATCAGAACGCAGCCGGGCGCATCGTGCGCCGGCTCCGGGCCGGGA